CCAGAACTATTCATTACATTGTATTTCTTTACCCACTTTACACACACACACACACACACACACACACACACACGACTTTAAACTTAGTGATTTGTATGGTCTTAGTGGGCAATTTCTTTTTAAATTCTCACCAAAGGATATGTTTTCATTGTTCTTTAGAGAGAGTGTGGAAGGAAGGGAGAAGGAAGAGAGAGAGAGAGAGAGAGAGAGAGAGAGAGGAGAGAGAGAGAGAGAACGAGAGCGAGCACATTAATGGAGACACATTGAATGGTGTGGGGAATCAAACCTGCGACCCTTCAATCCATGGCCTGAAGCTGTAACCACTGAGGAAAACCAGCCAGGGCTTTAGTACAAAATTTAATTCTGGAAGTGATTAGACAGAACATGAGTGGCTAAGATCTGATGATTGATAGGTCTAGGAGGAAGTGAAGGAAGGAAGCCAAAGTCATCAAAGAATCTTAGTAGGCACTTGTTGGCTACATGAAAAGTGGTCCCACTCAGAGAATGTGGATAATTGGAAGATGAAGAGGCAATTACTTAAAATTCTATTTCTTTTTCTTTTAGCACATAAAAAATCATATCCATGATTTCAGCTTACAAAATTCCATTAATATTCCCTATTCTTGGAAAAGAGTACGCAGCATTACTTCTTTTTCTTAAATATATTTTTTATTGATTAAGATATTACATATGTGTCCTTGTCCCCACGTTACCCTCTACCCACCCCCCATCTCCCGGCTCATGCTCTATTGTCCGTGTCCATTGGTTAGGCCTATATGCCTGCATGTAAGTCCTTTGGTTGATCTTCCCCCTTTATCCCCCCCCTCCCCTACCCTCCCTCCAAAGCCCGACAGTCCAATCAATGCCTCTCCCTCTCTGGATCAGTCCTTGTTCATCAGTCTATGTTGTTCCTTATATTCCACAAATGAGTGAGTTCATGTGGTATTTATCAGCTCTCCAGTTCCATCCATGTTGTGGCAAATGGTAAGAGTTCCTTTTTCTTCTCCCTCTTCTTAAAGAATACCTTTCAGCATTTCATATAATGCTGGTTTGGTGGTGATGAATTCCTTTAGCTTTTTCTTATCCGTGTAGCTCTTTATCTGACCTTCTATTCTGAATGATAGCTTTGCTGGATAAAGTAATCTTGGTTGTAGGTTCTTGCTATTCATCACTTTGAATATTTCTTGCCACTGCCATCTGGCCTGCATAGTTTCTGTTGAGAAATCAGCTGACAGTTGTATGGTAACTAACTTCTTTTCTCTTGCTGCTTTTAAGATTCTCTCTTTGTCTTTTGCCCTTGGCATTTTAATTATGATGGGTCTTGATG